CATTTCTCCTCCTCTTCCCGATGTTTCCCTCGCTGCCATTGCTCTCGCCGCTCGGTCCGAGAGATGTCGTTGGCTTCGCCTTCTGTCGGCAGGGAACATCCCTTTTCTTTTCTGGCTCAATTCAAGTGTCGTGGACCATGTGTGTGATTTTCTTTTCTCTTCTTCTCTATTCCCTGCCTATAAGGAGAGTTCCTTATTGTTTTGTTGGGGGTTGTTGAAAAATTTAGATAGAGGAGATTGGAAAGGAGATTCTTGTGAGAGCACATCTTTGAGGTAGCTTCTTGTGTTGCAAGGCTTTACTTTGGCGTCCTTGAGGTACCCCTCTCTTTCCCCTTTTGGTGCCCTGTTTCCTTGCGGTTTTCATCTTGGCTGAGGTTTTGAGTCTATTTCTGTTGGATGATACAGCATGCTAGTTTTTTTTTTTTACTTGTTTGAGATGAAGCAGTGGCAGAGTTCTCTTATAGGAAGCTTGAAATATGGTTTTGAAATAATTCTAGCATTTCTTGCAAGCATGTTGGGGTTTCGGTTTTAGCATCTTATGACTTGCTTTTGCTTAAAAGGAATGTTAGAGAGCTCATTTTATTTCTTATACATATGTGGAGTTCGGTTTAGCTCCCCATGCGGCATCACCTCTGTTCAAATACTTGTTGAAATTGTTTCATGCCTTGAATATTTAGATACGCAGGTGATTCCTCGGTTTGGAGGCTTGGTTTTGGCTTCCTGTGACACTCTTTGGTTTGAAATGTATGCTATGAGAAAATCTATTTAAAATGCTTGGTCTGACGGCTTGGTTTTGGCTCGGTTTGGGACTTTGGTTTGGTGTGAAATGGCTAGAGCCGCATTTTTATATGTATATGTACAAAGACCTGAATTTAAAAATGGTTGATGTTGATTTTGGTTTTGTCGAGCTCGTCTTTGATTCGGTTTCCTGTTGGGAGCTTGGTTTTGGCTCTGTTTCTTGATTGAGCTCGGTTCGACTCTAGTTGCAGGTTGGATTTGGCTTTGGTGTCTTGATGAGCTCGGTTTTGGCTTTGTTTCTTGCTGAGCTTGGTTTAGCTCTAGTGGGGAGCTGTTTTCATTTCGATTTGGTCTTGCTGAGCTTGGTTTAGTTCTAGTGGGGAGCTCGGCTTGGTTTTGGCTCGGTTTGGGACTTTGGTTTGGTGTGAAATGGCTAGAGCCGCATTTTTATATGTATATGTACAAAGACCTGAATTTAAAAATGGTTGATGTTGATTTTGGTTTTGTCGAGCTCGTCTTTGATTCGGTTTCCTGTTGGGAGCTTGGCTTTGGCTTTGTTTCTTGCTGAGCTTGGTTTAGCTCTAGTGGGGAGCTGTTTTCATTTCGATTTGGTCTTGCTGAGCTTGGTTTAGTTCTAGTGGGGAGCTGTGTTTGGTTGTTTTTTTTTTAGCCTTGCTAGGCTCGGTTTGGCCCCTACCCGAGAGGAGGGTTTGTTGGTTTTTAATCCCTGTCAGAGGGATGGCTGGGTTCTTTCAGATTCTTGTTGGTTTCGGCTCCTATCCGAGAACCTGTGTTGGATGTGTTGTGTTGTCCCTACTGTGGGTCTTACTTGTGCTTTGGATGTGGGCTTTAGCACGTGCTCCTTTGCTGCCTTAAGCCGTGAGCCTCTCTGTGCCTCGGGTTGCTGTGGCCGTGGGCTTTGCTTGTGCTTTGGGGTTGCCTTTGGTTGTGGGTTTTGGCAGTTGTCCCCTGCTTTAATTGTGAGCCTCTTTTGTCCCTGTTCCTTGCTTTGGCCGAGGGCCTTGGAAGCTGTTTCCCCTTCCCTGTTGACCCCGATCGTGAGCATTTATGTGGCTTGATAGAGAGATTTCTATGCTTACTTAATATATGGAATTATGGATTGAGTTGGAGGAGTTTCGAATTTAATACGAGTTTGGAAATATTGACGGTGTTTTCCCCGCGTTTATTTTCTTTCAAAGTTTGGATAATTTTAAATCTCATTTTGAAAGAGTATTTAGTT